ACCTGCAGAGTCCCAGAAATTCCAAGAAGCTCTCTTCAAAGTTAATTATGTTGAAAAAAAATTATTGGTTTATCTCTGTCATTTTCCCAAGAAGTAATTCTCAAATCCTATTAAATTGCTATTCTTCACTAAAGAGCTTTAAGAAAGATCAGAATCATTTCTCCATGGTTATTGTTTTACTGCTTGATTGTTGTATTTATGTTAGGAGCACAGAGACTTTTTGTTAATCAGTAATAAGGTTTACTTCCATTAGAACTTTCACACTCACTTATCACAAGGCATAGATGGAATAGCTATCTGTGTAATTCTAAAAACTTTTTTAAGAGACTCCAAATTATTAATTTATACATTTAAAGGAGCCTAATTTTTAGCCCTGGCAAATCTCTTTAGACCTGCATTTCATGTATCAGTACTTTTATATTTTTACCATTCAGATAATCAAATAATTTGGTTAGATACCATCTATTCTGAATAAAATTGCGTATGCTGGATTTCAGTCATGTATTTTCTAGCATTAGATGAAGTTTCTACAATAAAATCTCATAAGGTCAGAAAATCCCTTTTTTAAAATTACATTTTCAGTCTATAATTATCAGCATGACATTAACACACATTCTCTTTTGAGATATGATGTTGATAATAGTTCATAGTGTGATCATACAATAGTTTCACCTGTGTATTGGTCTGACAATAAAACCAGGAAAATGATGCGATTTAGAAAATCTTTGAAGAGATAAATCTTTATTGTAGGAAATTTAATGTTTAAGAAATCTAGTGATACAAGAACTTAGAAAAGATTTTGAAAGGATTTTCCTGCATATGAAAATATTCTGTTGTACCAATCTCCTAAATAGATTGCTGTATAAATTTCTTATAACCTATTATAATTGGAACAATTATTTCTAAGCTACATCCGGGAACAATATCTTTCAGGGACCCTATAATTAGTTCAAATATACAGATATGAGCTTTCAAAATACAAAAAATACAGAAGAAACAATCACCAAAACTTATCTATCACTTAATTGTCTCCATCAGTGTTTTGAAGTTGGCTCCTCATGCTTTAATTCACCATTGGAAACCCTGAGTTTTTGGTGGTCAAATAATTTTTCGACACTTAAAAATTTATTCCTCAGGGATGGGATCCACTTCAAAACATGTTCTAGTGAGTCTAAGCTTAGACTCACTCTTTACTTGAAACACAGTCAGATAAAATGCCCTGTCTTATTCAAGGCAGGGCATTCCTTATTACTATTAATATTCCTTATTGCTGAAGCAAGATGGATATTTCTCACAGTTTGAAAGGTAAGACTTCTCTCATCAATGCTGTATTTAGAGACAAGTTGTATTTAGTACCAGACATATTTTTTTTTTTTTTATTCCTTGAGTCCATCACTTTCTTTGAATAGAGATAGCTAAATTTGATTTTTACTGTCACTGTGAGCTAAGAATAACAGTGGTGAACTTGGCACTAAGAAGCTGCAAAAATGCAGCAATACCACATGTGTAAACATTCAGAATGAATCTGGTCACTTAAATGTGGAAGTATGATGTCATGCTGAATTAGTACAAACAGAGATGATTGATTGATTGCTTGGTTGATTATACCCTGTCATAAGAGGTTCCCTCGGAGTAAAGGAATTAATTTAGATAAATACAAGGTAGTAATACACTTAGGAAAATGTCATATCACTAGGATGTACAAAACTAGTAAGATTGGACTAGAAAATTTATAGTACTATGGATCTCACAGCATGATATTGCAAAAAGGTTTTCTTTGTATAAATAGGAGGCTCATGCAGCAGAAAAGGAAATACAGTCTTAGTAACATTTAACCCTGAAGTAAATTTTGTAATTTTAATAAAATTGAGTAAGGAAAAATACCTCCCTAAAACTTCTTATCTGGGATACATTAATGCTCTTGAATACCTACTGAGAAAATGAAAATTTATTGTTTATTGACTGAGATGCAAGAGATGCCTGTGAATGAGTTAAGGAATAATTTAAGCTTTAAAAATCAGTGAGATCAGCATGAAACAGTCTACGAAGTACAAGAATGTTTCAGACTCCAACAGATTTTTAAAATTATTTCTAATTCAGAGTGTACAATTTCACAGAAACGATGTAATATTGGAGACTCAACTACAGAGAATTTGACTGTAGATATTAAAAAAAGACCAAATTGTTTACATTTTAAGGATTTTCCCCATATTTCTGAAATCCTTTACACATTGCCATTTTTGGGTAATGTGATAGTCATTCAAAACAGGAGTCATTTAACCTCTCCAAGGCATTTAACTTGCACCTGAAGTTTTTTGTCTAGTAATGGGTTTGTATCATTAAGACACTAAAAGAGGACTTCAGCTGGTAAAACCTCAGCCCCTTTTCCAGACTCAATTTCTGTGTATGCTAATTGTGCAGATTTAGATGCATAGTGATCCTTCTTGTTGTTTTATATATCCATCTCACATACTGGCAAAAATCACCTCCTTCACTGTCTAGTATCCTTCCAGGCATTACATAATTCATTTCTTTCATGGAAGCTCCCTGAAATACCCTCCCCTGTAAATTTAAATTGACTTCAGATAGTACCTGCTTTTCTCAAGTAGTTGAGGTCTGAAAGGTGATCAATAAGCAGAGAGCCATGAGGCACTTTAGTTTCCTTTCCATGTCAAAGGATCTATGTCTGCCTTAAGAGTGTCTCTATCAGGACCAGTTTTGGAATGCGATGCATACTGTTTTGTTTTCATAACTATCACAGTAGCCCATGTGGCATTGTATCAAACAAGGAGTGCTCTTGTACCTGTAGCAGAGTATGTGAATCACTAGTAGTAATTGTAGGCTTGCTGGCTATCATGGTATTGTTCAGGAAAATAAAAGCTTTTAATTTTCAGCAAAGCCTTTACGAAGGTATTCTTATTTATGGGCTGCCAGATGTTCTGGGAGTTTATAATTCATGTTTGCAATGTATTTTTCATAAATTCATCTGTGCATATGTGGAGAGGAAGAAGATGTAGCAAACAAGATAAAAGAATAACATTTAGGCTAGAGTCAGCCCAGTCTTTCATTCTTGAGTTAGCAGTCTAAAATGATTTGCTGGGAAATGTAAAGGTTTTGAACAAAAGTTGTATCACAAATAGAAGACTGCTATGCATTTTGGAGTAATTATAATTTATCTAATTAGCTTAGAAAGCCTGAGTGAATCAGTCTTAATTAATGTTGCAGCAAATCTGAAATTAGGATTCGACTCTAAACTAAGCACCTCAGACAATTGATGGAAGGAGATAGGCACTTTAAGGACATCTCCAATGAAATGTCTAAAAATGGGAAGATGCTAATACTTTCATACTTCCTCTGAACAACTCAATAGCTGGTAAAGTCGCTTCTTAATTTAGCTGTAGTGAAGCTACCAGCAGAAAATATTCATGGCACCTCCCTCTCTTTCATAGCTATAATGGGGTAGGATTATTCTTTCAAGAATGAAATTCAGAGTAATAAGGTAACCATCTAAAGGGTGGTATTTGTAGAAGAGAAGAAATGGTATTCATAGCACTTAACACCCTCAGTGCTGTGTATATATATACCATACAAGGAAAGGAGCTGACCTTTGCAATTGCAAGATTCCCCAACTCATTATTTAAGAACCAGCTGAATCTGGATTCAAGATCTGAAGTACCCTCTAAAGGTATAAACATGAATAATAAGAATAAAGCTTCTTTTCTTTCCCAAGAAATGAGATAATACCCAAATCATTAAACAAAAAAATCTACTAATAGCTTCAAAAACCAGAATAAGCATAGTCTAAACATGTCTGGAAAGTTTCTGGGAAGGGATACTATCTTCCTGAATCTTTTTCTTCATATCACTTCTCAGTTATTTTTTTGTTGGTTATTTGGCAGTTTTAATAAAAAAGTTCAGTCTTGATATTTTTTTGATAAGGAACTCTTCTTCAGAATGATGCAACGATTATTTTCATCTTTCCTATATCATCAAATTAGGTTTTCTTAGCAACAGTGCTTCTAATTGTATATCCTTACATGCACTAGCCTTTTAATATTCAATGTACTTTTTGTCCTACTGTTTTTAATTTGTCCTCTGTCATCTGACCTAGTTGACATTTTTGGTATATGTCTCTCAGATCAGGTTGGTGAAAAACTTATAATTATGAGAAATTAACTTCTACTTTATTTACTGTCCTCCTGCACATGCTTGAATTTCCAGTTTGAAATGGTCTGGCTTTAGGATTCAGCTATTACATAAAATAGAAATGTTAAATAACATAGTAATATCCACAGTAATAAATATTTTTGAACTATTTTCTCTATACAGTGTATGTGCCAGATGTGGAGAAAGGCCAGAATCTGTGGCTGAGAAAATATTCATAATTTTATGGAGGTCAGGAGATCATTGTTGGACCCAGTCCTGTTTAATATTTTTATTGATGATCTGGATGAGGGGATCAAGTCTACCCTTAGTAAATTTTCAGAAAACACCAAGTTGCATGGGACTCTCAATCTGCTGGAGGATAGGAAGGCTCTGCAGAGGGATCTGTACAGCCTGATTCAGTGGGCTGAGGCTAATGGTATGAGGTTCAACAGGATCAAGTTCCAGGTTCTGCACTTTGACCAGGATACAACCCCATGCAGTGCCACAGGCTGGGGGCAGACAGGATGGAAAGCTGCCCAGCAGAAAAGCACCTGGGAGTGCTGGTTAACAGTTAACATGACCCAGTGTAGCCAAGAAGGCCAATGGCATCCTGGCCTGTATCAGGAACAGAGAAGTCACTGTCCCCCTATACTTGGCACTGATGAGGGCACACCTCTAGTATTTTGTGTCCTGTTTTGGACCACCCAATTCAGGAGGGTCACTGAGCAGTGTGTCCAGAGAAGGCCAACGGAGGTGGTGAAGCATCTGGAGTACAAGTCTTGTGAGGACTGGCTAAGGGAGCTGGAATTATTTAGCTTTGGAGAAAAGGAGGTGCAGGGGAGACCTTATTACTCTCTACAACTGCCTGAAAGGAGGCTGTGGCCAGGTGCGGGTTGGTCTCTTCTCTCACGCAACTAATGATAGAACAAGTGGACATAAACTCTTAAACTCTGTCAGGGGAGGTTTAGGTTGGACATTAGGAAGAAATTTTTCACAGAAAGAGTGATTAGATATTGAAATGAACTTCCCAGGGAGGGGAGTAGAATCAGCTTCCCTTAACTGTTTAAGGAAAGACTGGATGAGGCACTTAGTGCCATCGGGTAGTTGATGTGGTAATGTTGGGTCCTAGGCTGGATTCAATGATCTCAAAAGTCTTTTCCAGCCTAACTGATTCTGATTCTGGTTCTCAAAATTTTCATATATATTTTTTCTAATAAGACAAATTAATTAGTTTTAAACTATTTATACCCATAGGACTGCATGTTTAACAGCCGTTAGAGTGTTTAAGAGGTAGCTAGCTGTAGGCTAGAACACCTATTTGTTTATATTCCTCTGCTTCATTCCTGATGTCACTTGAGACACTTGAATGACTCTAGGTTCTAGTTCTTTTTTACCTCTTCCCTTTAACTCCTGATGAATTTTTAATTCTCTTTTCCTGATACTGACTCTTGACCTTGAACTTTTCATACATCTCCAGAGTCTGTTTTCTCCCTTGAAGTCTTTCTCTTGATTCCCAGTATAGCGCTGGACTTTTTACAGATCCAGAGTGACAAAATATCTACAACTTCATGAGAGTTATGAGGGTTGCTAAATACTCTATTTTTTACAGCCACATCAAAAAAGTCCATTTACACAGTTCTAATTATTGGGATTTTCTGTCATGTTCTATTGTCACTGAAAAGCAATAACCAGTCTTCCAGATTCTATTTTTTGTACCACTTTTCACAATATATCATTGTACTTCTTTAGATTGTGGCTTTCATAAAATTTCTTCCATATATTTCTGTTATATTTTAGTACTCTATTTTCTGTTCAACACAACAGAAAACATCTTTAAGTTCATTAAATCTTTAACTGTGAAATTAAGAATGCATAACAGGAATAACCTTTCTCTGTACATACAGTGTAAACCTTTTGAATTTAATTCTAATGAAATTAATTTCTGTGGTGTGGGTTAGTTTTGTATTGTAAGCAACACAATTTCACTACAACTTCCATGTGGCAGTGATCATGGCTTATAAGGTTCCTGTTACACTCCTTGGATATTTAGTTTGATTCATCCTAATAAAATGTATCCAATGCCATTTAGGATAGCCTAGTGTATATTTGACTTTATTTTTGATTGACAGAAGCTGCATAAGACCTGTGGGAGATTTGTGTAATGCTGCATAGGAAGATGAAAACCCAGTGGGATGTGTCTTGACATGGTAATGGACTCACTGAATCAAACCCTTAGTTCACATGTGAATGTGAATATTTAGACAGAGGATTTACTTGCAAGCATGGAATGAGTACCTATTCTTATTTTTGTATATTAATTCATTAACTGTAAAAAAAATTGACCTGAAGACATATTTCATTTTGTTATAATTTCCTTCATTGTTATGAATACTAGTACTTCATTATCATATTTTTTACAAGTTAATTAGTATGTGTTCAAAGCAGTGCACATACAGCTCTCCTTGCATTCTTAAACTTGTTCCGTTCTTAATGTTCCACATGCATTGGCTTTTGTAATTCCACTTAAAATTTCCTGCACTAACTAATTCTGTGCCTCACAATGTACTTAATATTCATTTGTTGAATGCGAAATCAACTATTCATGTGACTTTCAGATTTTGGTCAGTTTTAATCTCAGTGGTTGACAGTAAGAAGGAGTTCAAAAAAAAAAAAAAAAAAAAAAAAAGATCATGTAGATAATTTAGTGTTGGGTAAATAGTAGATGATTCTTATATTGGGTATTGGCCTACTGGAAAATATTCCTGGCAGGGCTTCCAGGACTAAAAGTCAATTATTTAACTAAATCTTCTAAAAACTTTGAATGCAAAGCATTTACATGCTTGTTAATAAGCATAAAATCAGTTTTTGGGCTAAGCATGGGAGAAAAAAAGTGGTTTATTGAAACACAAATGAAGAATATAAACTTTTAAATCTGATCTCTTCAAAGTTTGGACAGAAAAAACCCCAAACCAACTCAAACCAAAAACCAGCACAAACCCCACAGAAATTTAGCAGATTTTAAAGAGCTTTGACATTATTTGTACGTTTTATTGCCAACAGATCAAAACTTTTATGTAAGCTTACAGTTCTGATGTTATCAGTGAATATTATTATTATTAGCACTGTACTACCAGATATGAAATGACCTTGAAGTACTTAGGCCAATTTCTAATATAGATATATAATACCTAAATTGTGACAATAATAAATAAATAAATAGAATAGTTGAGCTAAAATTAACCTTTTAACAAGTGAGACAAAATACTTAGGACAGCTTAAGATCCTTGTCAAGAAGTTACATGCACAGTTACTTTTTGTGGTACATACACTCTGTGAATAAACATCAGCTCCCTAGAGCTGTCTTTTAATACAACTATAAAGAAGATCCAATAGAAAATCTTGTCCAATTTTTCTCTTAGAGAAATATTTTATTACTTGCAATAATAGAAACTTTTTCACTCCTATACGAGTGTTTTAGAAACAGAAATAAAAAGTTAGGCTCCAGAATATTTTGAAATGCAACTAAAAATTTGATTATAATTAGATATTGAAATTATTTCTTTAATAGTTAATTACAATTTCTAGTGATTTTAGGGCAGTAGCTTCACCTTTTGGTGGGTCATGGGAACTGAACTAATCTATACATATGTAATTTTGTGTTCAAGTGATCAAAGGCAGCTTCCAGTCAGATCATATTGAAACATGGTGTCTCATTTTCTAGATCAAACTATGTCTGTTCTGTAATGAGAATATTTATTTCAGCTTCAAATAAGAATCAAATCAAATAGGAGTTTGAACTTACCTTCAAATTGACATTCTTGCATTTTGATTATCTATTCAACAATAAATTGAGAGTATAAATACGTGCAGAGGAAAACAGCAGGCATCCTTCATGAACAATTTTTCAGTAGATTAGATTAAAGTAAAAGTATCCTTTTTCTAACAAAGTGGCTTAGAATTCTGATACCAGAGCAATCTGTGGAGAAAAAAATTATTTAGAGGATGTTCTAGAGTATTTATCTATGATTAAAATAATAAACAAGATAGAGTCTGTTACCTGAACTTGAGAGACAAACCAGCACACCTTGTTCCTATCTGTCTCTTACTTACCTACCCTGCCCAATATCTGGGAGCAGATATGGACTTTTGGGAATAGTCCATGTCTTGTGTTAACATCTGAATTGTCCTCAGCTGTTGCTTAGCCTGATCAAAACTGTGACAGGGATTGCTCTAAATATATTAGTACAGATAAGCATGTTTCCATCCTTATCAAAATTTATGTTCTCTGACACAGTTTGATTTAAAACTAGAAATGTAAACATTGAGAATTGGCTTTTCTTTGGCTTTTGTTAAGCATTAACTGATTTTGCAAATTCTGACTTCCTAAATATTTCATCCTTCACAGTTTCACTCTCTAAGGCAAAGACATCTTCACAAATCAAAGATGAAGTTCAGTCCCTAAGTCATTAATGAGCTCCAGAAATTTCATTTGTATTTAACTGTTCAGTATGCAGGATTGTGTTTGGGTACAGGACTGTGCCCAAGGCAGAGAGGTAAACAGAGAGGAAGGAAGGATGGTGCTTAATTTTAATTTCAAGGAACTTGTATGCTAGATTGTTCAGATTCACTGCAGGCAGGAGTAACTCTTGAGCTGAAGAAATTGGATATTATTAAATTCTCTCAAAATTAGTCTCTGCAAAGATCCTTTTATAGGGAAAGTGGTGGACCACATGCTGCAAATATATGATATATGATATCACTATAAATTTTATTATATATATATTTATATATATATAAATATATAATTTACGTATATATATATATATATATATATATATATATAATTTATATTGTTGATATAATTGTGGACCAGGAGAGTCTAATAAGTGCTGGTCAATTGCTCTTTCTTTTCTAAGATTAGTGTTTCTTTCCTATTGCTTCCTATAAAAACTGTGAAAGCTCAGATAACAGATGACCCCCAGAATCACACAAAACACCCTCTTTTGATTTAGACTGACACATTACCTGTAAGGTATTGCATATATCTGCAAGACTAACATGAATCAATGGTTGAAAAGAAATATTGTACTGGAGTCTGCTTCTGAAAGGATAAATTGACACATATTTTAAACTCTAAGGTATTTTAAACTTAGACAGTATTAATTGTAGGAAATGGGCTGCTGGTTGTTTTTTTGGTGGTTTTTTTTATCATTAAAAGATCAACATTTTTTTAATAAATGCAACCACTGTCATAGCTAATTCATTATATGCTATGTTAAACAAACTAAATTTGAATGATGGGCTGCAGCATCAGGGAATTCCCACACATGCAGTACTCAGAATTATTCACTTAATGAATTCTCCTCTGAATTTCTTCTTCCAGAATTGTTTACACTAGAAAAAAAAAGTGAGCAAAACAAGTTATCAAAGAAGATTTTGTTTTTTCTATCACTTTAAATTCATTCACATTGAGCAAGATGACTGGTAAGAGAAAATCTGATTCAGAGTTAACCTGAAAACCCTATCCAGTCAGTATTTCAACATTTGCCCATTTAATATCCAAATACTGATTTGTTCAAGAATGTGACTGCCATTTTAATGATCTATTGCTTCCCTCTGGCAGTATTGTTAATGTGTTTTGGGTCATTATCTGGTGAAAGACTCTGTCTTGTGTGGCATTTACAAAGACATACCCTAAACTTTTTATTGCCTGAGAGTGTGGGCTCCTACCTTCCTACATACTCTGCCTATGCTACCTTTGTAATGAACTGGATCATATGTTAATTTTTGCACTAAAGAAAAACATGACAAGTCAGTGGGGTAAGGATACAGGTCTTATAATAAATAAATAAATTAAAATATAAGTAAATAAATAAGAATGAGAGAAATTTTCTTGTGAGGTAAACCTGGACTTTTTTAGATAATTTGGTGGAATATCTACGTTTGTTCACAAAAGCAACGGGAAGGTGGAAAGATGTTAAACGCACATTGCTGGAGCCAATATTACATTCCCATTGTTTCACCTTACTTCTCTTAAAAAAAAGGATATTGAGGGTATCTGTGGAACAGTAACAAATTCTCTTATGATTCACCAAGTTGTTTTCTGGTTGCTGAATGAGGGATAATGTTTTTATCTGAAAAGTAGTGAATTTTAGTTATCTCTGCACTACCAGTATTAGGTCTGTTACCAGTACAATCATGGGATGACTTGCAGCATCACTGTCTGTTTCCAGGAAACTCTACTGCATTGAGGCTGTGATAATGAGGGACAGAAGGTTCATGGATAGGCACAAGTACAACAGGACAGTTCTCTCTACCATGGACTTAGGGCCAAGGATGTGAAAACTGAAATAATTAGTAACAATTCTGAGCAAGTACTGGTGACTCTCCTTAGCTATGAATTTCTTATCTCTAAAGCTAAAGAGTTGTGGCTGTTCTCTTGCAGGGCTCACGAGTCTTAGTTTCTTGACTAATCAGTGACAGAGCTTCAACATGAGGTGGAAAGGGTATTCCCATTTTCTTTTCTCTCTCTCATTTCCCGCTTTCCTCCATTATGCTTATGTGGTGATCAGGGCATATTCCTCAAGAGAAAAAAAAAAAAAAAATTGAAACCCTTTAGATTAGAACTCTAATCCTCCAAGTGATTTCTTTAACCAAGAGTCTGTCATACGAAACACAAGCAATGCATCCCCTCATCCACTTTCTCTCACTGCTCTGATTTAAGGGCAAAGCAATTGAAACAGTTTTATAGGTGGCTCAAAAACTGTCAGGCACTGTCATGTTACAAGTTTCAGAACTTCAGTCCTACCACACTGGTCTTTTTAGGAAATTTATGAATTCCATCTGGAGATAGTTTGGGGCTGTGCATCATCAAGAGGAGACAAGAACAATTCTAAGCATAAGCAAAAATGGAATTTCGGGCAATTAAGAAAATTATAGGTCAAACACAGGCTAGAAAACTTAGCTGTTTGTCCAGCATGGGTATTTTCAATGGCAATTAATCTGCAAGAGGTATGAACTTGATCTACATTTTTTAAAGATATCTATATTCTTTTAAACATATGTGCTTTATCCTGGTTTATTCTATAGTACTATAATTACTTCTATCATCTGCCATTCTTTATAATTTTTTTCTGAAATACTGATTTTCTTTATAAACATTGGAAATATATGTTGCTTTTCCCTTTACTGCTGATAGAAATTTTATCCCTTTTTCTGAATAGCTGTAGATATAAATTTGATATAATTAATGTAGTAGTCTTTGACTCTATCTTTCCAAACTCCATAGGCTGAATTTTTTTTATTGGCTTGTACCTGAAGACATGTCACGGTTTGACACTGGCACAATGCCAGTGCCCCCATGAAAATGTGATCCCTACCTTGAATGCTGTGAAGTGGAATCTAGAATAGAGCAAAGCAGGCCCAAGCTTAATAACAGGAAAAAAACTTTATTAAACTACTACTACAAAAGAAAAGAGAAAACTAAAGAAGGGGAAAAAAAAACCACACAAAGATCCAAATTAAAACCTTGCAAAACATTCCTCCCCCCACCACCCAACTCCAACAAACCACAGTGAGACACAATCTGGACCCCAATCAGGTTTCCACCCTCCAAACAACTGATACTCAGTCCATTGAGGGAACAGAGTCTCTCCTGTGCCACAGACCCCCCAAGAAACACAGCTCCACATCCTGTGTTTCCATGTCACACATGGCACCGCCCGGAGAAAAAGTTTGCCATGGTGACCCTTCTCCTTTCCATGCACAGTGTTCTCACCACAATGCATGGATGGTCAGACTGGCTTTAGGATTTTTCCTTTCAAGGATGCCCTGCCAAGAGGGGAGAAAACAACAGTTAAGTTTTTCATTGTTTGGGACCACAGTCCCCCCCATTTTCCCCTGGGGCCGAGGGCTCAAGAACAGAGATCTTCTTCTCTTCTCTTTCCTTTCCAGGGCAAGGGGGTGCCACCACAAACCCCCTAACCTTTTCTCTGTTCACTCCACTTTTGTCTTTTTCCCAGCTGAAGCAGGTCTCTTGACTCACTGGCATCCTCCTAAAACACAGTCCCTCTTGAAGGAGAAGATTGGTTCAGGTTGTGGCTAACACGGAAAAGTCCAGCCAAAAAGCCACTCCTTGTCCCCCTCCCATCCAGAATTCCTCCTTCCAACATCCCATCCCAGGGTCCAAGGTGTCCCTCTTCCTCTCTTTCAAACCGAGGAGGGGAAAGGAAAATTCACAAAGCTTTCATTTCTCAAGGAAGGGTTAAAAGTCCAAACTCCCAGGGATGGCTCGATGCCCGGACATCCAGCAACTCCCACACAACTGGGCACCTTGGAGCTCCCCCCACTCCTCCTTCCTCGCAGTGGAATTGCTGACAGGACAGGATCGCCGCCGTCTCTTTCTCTCTCCCCCTCAGGAGAGAAACCGGGGCGGGGTGGGGAGGGGAAATGGAGACATCCCAGATTTCTTCCACCCTTCCATCTGCAGGGGCCAGCCCGGTTCCAGTCCTTCCACCACCCTTGGGGCCTACCTTTCAGGCCATGGGGCTTCCCCTCCCCCACCCAGCTTGTGGCTGGGCAGGGGAGGTTTGCACTGCACGCTGACCGGAACCAAAGAGAGCGACTTCCCCTGGGAATTCTGCTTTCAACCCCTCTGTGTTCTCAGAGGCGTGTCTACTTTCAATTGGTCAATATCTAAATTGACCTCTTCCTTCCGGAAAAAATTCTCTTTCCGTGTCAAACCACGACAAGACATTAATATCTGGGCAAGTGTTATCATTAGTAAATTACCTCTTGGTACATTTATCATGGCAAGTGGAAAGATTAGGGACTTTTACTAGAGATGACTTGCTTTGTTAATTAGGCCTAACTTGTCACTATTCTGATTTATCAAAAAAATTAAAACAAAATAGATGATAGTATGGCTATAGACCATAAAATGTGAGAACATAACCCACCAGCTGTTTGAGGACAATTTTACTCACAATTAAATGTATGAGATATGTTTCTTGATCTATTTGTCTCCCCTGCTGTTAATATAATTTGGGAAATTTGACTCAAGTAGATTATAAAATAAAGATACTAAGTTCACAGAGTATTTAAACCTGCTGTTCAGAACTCAATGTTAGAGCAGGTCAAGTGGGAAAAAGTTAAAAAAACCCTAAGTCAATCAAAATAAGCAAGGGGCTAGTCTAAATAATTAATTCAGCTTCCC